AACTTGCATTCACTTTCCTGAGCACCATGCTGTATTTCCACTTACTGGATCCTCTTTTTTATTCAGATCAGCACTGCTGCCTCACTTGCCTAAAAATGTTTTATGACAGAAGTGGGTAGCGGCAGGCCTGTGGGCTGCCACCAAAACATTTTTGCAGTTCCCAATGTCACTAAAGTATGGGAAGACAATTTTGCCATATTTTATTTATTTTATTTATTTATTTACAAGATTTTTTTTAGCCGCACCATTACCAGTGCTCTCTGAGCAGCGTACAACCATAGTAAAGCTTTAAAAACATTAAAAATAAGCAATATTATAATAATATCCTATATTAAAACAATCATTAAAACATTAATATTAATAAATCCTGCTGCTCATGTGGCCAGCTAAAGAATACTGTTTAATTAAAATACTGGCTAAACAGAAAAGTCTTTGCCTGGTGCCGAAAAGCCTAAAGTGTCGGAGCCAGGCAGATCTCTATAGGGAGGGCATTCCAAAGTTGGGGACCAACATCTGAGAAATCCCTATTTCAGCATGCCACCCCCCTCACCTCTTTCAGGGATGGCACCTTCAGAAGGGCCTCCTGGCCTGATCTTAGAGGACGGGCAGGCTCATATGGAAGAAGGCAGTCCTTTAGGTAACCAGGTCCTAAGCTGTTTAGGGCCAGTGTAAATTTTTAAGAGTGATATGAGTCCGCGCGGTGGCACCACTTACCAGCCGCACCATCCGGTTCTATGCCAGTTGCAATCACCGGATGTCTTCAAAGGCTGCCCCATGTATAGCGCATTGCATTAGTCCAGTCTGGTTGTTACCAGTGCATTTGTGACTGTTGCCAGGCTCCACTCATCCAGGTAAGGGCGAAGCTGATATATTCTCCACAGCTGTAAGAAGGCACCCCTGGACACCAAGTCCACCTGGGCTTCCAAGGTCAGACCAGGGTGAAGGAGCAGCTCCAAGCTGCGGACCCTGTCCTTAAGGGGGAGTGTAACCCCATCTAAAGCAGGGAAATGGCTCTTTAACCTATCTGGCAGAGCACCAACCAGCAGCACTTCCGACTTGTCTGGATTGAGCCTCAATTTATTATTTATTATTATTGTTTTCAGACATATTTTGCCCCTGGTACTCCCCGATTCTCAAAGCAGAATTTAATTGTCTAAAATGTTGTCACCACTAGAGGGTTCAAGGGTGTGTTTTTCAATTAGAGAGTCCATTTTCTGAATTAATCCTATTTTCTGTTTAACAAAAGTCTACTGTAGCAACCTTTACCGTATATAAGCACTGCATTTAAAAATATTTAAAGAATATAGAATAAAGATACAAATTAGCCTCTATAGCTGAATGCTCTGGGAGCGTAGCTATCAAGCATGCATATCAGAAATATGTTTCTTGGACTACTCAAGATCACCCACTCCATTTTATGAAGATGTTGAAATGTTTATAATGTTCTGGTGTGAAAATGTTCAAGTTTCTACTTTATATTGGCTGGAATCCTGTTGCTTTGTTACACAGGCAGAAGGTAAACAGTGTAACATTCACTCACTTTTAACTGGCAGCTAAAGAGTCCCCACTAGAATTATTAAGCATGCACTCCTGAGGATTGTGGTGGTGATTTTTTAATTGTTGAATGGAAATGAGTGAATTTTGTGCTATTTCCCATCCACCTGCATAGCTGTCCAACAGGATTTCAACTCTTATTAGCAGGCAATAATACTTCCAGTAGAAAGTGACAAGAGGAGAAATAATTTCATTTCAATTTTTTTTCACTGTAAATGCCAAAGTTGCCAATGAAATGTGGTCGAGAGATAATAGAGCCTGGATAATAATTTTTTAAAAAAATCTAAAGTGCCTTACATGTTTTGGCTACACCCGCTAAGGCATCACTGAATCCTGTTGAGTACGAAGCGAATACTTTAACACTGTATTCAGTTCCACTAAACAAATTCAAAATAAGGATAGTATTGATGTCATCTCCCACAAAGGTCTCTAATGCTGGTCCAGGGACTGAAAGAAATAAGAGACGAATAGAGCTAATTTTGGCAAACATCCATTTAAGTAAAATTACATTCAGTGTAAAAGACATTGACAAATTGCATGACTGATTACTTATTACCATAAAAACCATCTAGCTCTTAAAGAATTTGTTTATTTTTTGTGCATATACATAGCCTTTGTGGGACTTTGTGAAAAGTTTGTAGACTGCCCAACCTTGAAAGCTTGAGGCAGGAAAAATTTACAAGAAACATGAATAACTATAAAAAGGTTCAGTTAGTTTTAACATAAAACTAACTTTTCTGCCTTGCACAAACGTCCACAACTATTACTAGTCCAGAAACTTAACTAAATTGTCTGGCTACACCATCATAATAATTTCCATCATAATCATCGTCATTTATGTTATTAACCACATTATGTACAGGCCCTTGATTCCTTTTTGCACACAGAACTGTTCCTAAGGACTCCATCAAGACAGGTGGCACTTATATGCACAATTCCAAAAGCATTTAAGGTATTTACGGAAACTCTGTTAGCAATTATCTGAGACACTCACTGTTAACAGGTTTATATACAATCCTATATCCCATAGTGGGAGATGGAGGTGCATCCCAGCTAATCCGCAGCCTGTTGTACCATTCATCAGAGACCCTCAGATTTCGTGGAGCAAACAGAGGCACTGGGGGGGGAAATTAAATGCTCATTATGTCCTAGACCAATAATCTGATTAAAACAAGTAGTTTTTATATATATACTGGAGCTTCAACAGAAGAAGAATATATTTGTACTCACAGGTTTTCCCAGGAATTGATAAACTGGCACCTTCCCCATCAGAATAGATGGGAGTGACCATAACTTTATATTCAGTGTCTGAAAGCAAAGACTGAAGAAGTAAATTGTTCTGCCTTGCTGGGACCATCACCTGCATGAGGAACACATGAAAACATGAACAAAATAGAAAGTTAGCCACACCTTATATGCTACATCTGAGACACCTTCAGAACAGTTCACTATTTTATCTGATTTTTTTTTCTTGTACCAGTAGAGCTGATTGTAACAAAGAAAAACCTTTGCATTTCCAGATATCATCATTATCATCATGAGAACCTATGGATCATTGAGTCTAGCCTCTATTAAGGAGGCACAACACGGAATTAAAATCCCAACGTCTGGCTCTGCAGCCAGATACCTAAACTATCTGCCACATATATATTTATCTGAAGCCTCATATATTCTGTGACTTCTGAATTCAGAGACATAGAAGGTTTGTCCACCTGAGGGTAGACATTCATGCGTTCAGGAACATTAGAACAAACATTACAAACAAAGCAGCTTTGAGATACAAAGAATTTCTGGAACTGTAGTCTGGGGAAGATGCTGTTAGACTCTCCTTCACAGACCTACTGGTTCCAAAATTCCCTGGAGGGAATTTGGATGTGGTCCGACAGGCACCTAATCACACGAGAAAGGGTTGATTTGACGAAAGCGGTCTCCCTCAAAACGAACCTTCCATTTGCTGGGGAATTGCTCCCCAAGTAGAAACATGGATTGGAGTTGGGCTGGAGCACATTTCCCCATACGTTGTGCGATTACTAGGAAACAGATTGCACTCCATACACGGTCAAAATTGTAATCTATTTCCCTGTGTGCTCCTATCCCGGCATTGAGTATTAATCCAGCCATATTCATTTATTCATTTAATTTGCCTCCCACCTTTCTTCCTTATAGGACCAAAGGTGGCTACGATGTAGATTTTTTTTAAAAAATAGATGTAGTTAAATATATATAGTCCATGTATTTTGTTCCTAATATACTGTATCAGTTTGTCTCCAGAAAATAATAAGATCTTTGCCTTTTGTGCAGAACACACAGAACACACAGGCTTCATTTTGGCTCAGTAGATGAGCCACTGCCGCCCCCCCCCCGCTTCCTGGAGAAACAAGATTCATGTGCACCCTGCCACTCAATAGCTTGAGATGAACATGCTGGAAAGACAGGATTGTAGAGGAAAGGATTAATCAGCGGGAAACAGGGATCTATATAAATGGACAGAATGTACGCCATCACATCTGAAAGTGACAATTATTTTTTTAAGAGAAAGGAAGATGAGGAAAAAGGTAATGTTTGGAATGCATATATGAAGCCATCCTGAGTCCCAATTCTGTGGTGACATTTAAATGGATAAATAAATAGTCTTGGAATACTGTTCTAAACAGACATCACCAATGCCAGGGAATACAATGAGATCAGAACAGACATTTTTGGTTTGAGATCTTAGACACTAAGAATATGAATTCTTAAACTGTGTTCTAGGATAAAACCTGTGTTCTCTCAAGGTTTCTCAAGGGTATAAAGATGAAAAGATTAAGAGAAGCACATAAGTTTCCCTGACAGATCACCTGTCTGTCATTATTGATCTTTTCCTGCAACGCACAGAGGGCAGAGCTAAGTACATGTTCAGTCTTACTGTCCATTGATATGTGACAATGATCCTGAAAAGGAATGGGCAGCAATTTGTGTGAAGCTAAAGAACATGGTCTTGGAACCCATCCATGTTGAAGGAAATCAACCCTGAGTGCTCAGTGGAAGGACAGATCCTGAAGCTGAGGCTTCAATACTTTGGCCATCTCATGAGAAGAGAAGACTCCCTGGAAAAGGCCCTGATGTTAGGAAAGAGTGAAGGCAAGAGGAGAAGGGGACAACAGAGGACAAGATACAGTGGTGCGTCTCTAGATAATGTTAATCCGTTCCGTGAAGATCGCTGTCTTGCGAAAACATCATCTAGTGAAGCGCGGTTCCCCATTGCATTGAAATCCATTTAATGTGTTCCAATGGAAAACTTGTAGTGTAGTGAAAATCACCCATAGGGAAACATCGTCTTGCGAGCGCGGGTCCCCATTGGTATACATTGACAGCTGCTCAATGCGTTCCAAAGGGGAAAAATCATTGTCTAGCGAAAATCGCCCATAGGAAACCATCGTTTTGCGAAGCGCAACAGCAATCGCAAAAAACCATCGTCTAACGAATTCCTCATGCCGCGAGGCAATTGTCTAGCAAGGCACCACTGTAGTAGGAGAGTGTCATCGAAGGGCCTGGTGTGCTCTAGTTCATGGGGTCATGAAGAGTTGGACACGACTAAACAACTAAACAACAACAAAAGAACGTGGTCTAAATTCTTCTGCAACAAGTGTGGGGTTTCATAACAGACACGCAAGGTTTATTAGCATTCAAAAAGATGACAGAAAAGATGTTTGTTGTAGGGAGGATTTGAAAAAGATAACCATTCTGAAAGATGACAAGAGTGCTAAAGAATGTCACATGCAACTGTCACAGGAACAAAGTCTTTGGCGTTATATAGGACTGATTTCCAATCAATGTCATAAATGCAAATTCTTGGCAACATGTTATGTACCCTCAGCAGCGACAGCTAATCAACATATTTTATTTATTAGTAGAGATTAGCAATATTATACATCTGGAGAACAGCAGCATCTTCTACATCCAAACACTGTGCGTGTTGGAATGAAGCTGTACAGTATATGGCAGAAACAAATAGAAATCTCCCCCACCTTTTCCCTAAAAACCGAGGATCTGTCACTTATAACCAATGTATCAATTAACACCTAAACGAAAACTACATTCAGTAAAACATGATTGCAACCTGATATGATAGTACCACATCAAAATTTGTTTAGATTCAATGCAGCTTGGCTGTTTATGCCTCAAGACACATTCTCCACCCTACCCTGTGTATCTAATAATAATAATTAAAACTTTTATTGTCATAATTAACCCAGTGATTACATCAGAAGATCCTTAAACCTGGGTCAAGGAGGGAGTGCTGGTTAAAACTGTGCTCTTTTGGCACGTTCACTATAACCAATGTACAGTGGTGCCTCGCACAACGAGTGCACCGTAGAACGACGAATCCGCACAACGGCGCCGTTCTAGCGATCGCAAATGCGATCGCACACCGACGGCCCCTATGGCTCAAAATCGCAGAGCGAAGGGCGGTAAGCGGTTCGCTTACCGACCTTCGCTTTGCGACCCGCTGATCAGCTGTTTGGCGGCTACAAAATGGCTGCCGGAAGCCCCAGAATGGCCACGCACAGCATTTTCGTGCCCTCGTTAAGCGAGGGGAGGGCGCGAAAATGGCTGCCGGCCATCGGAGAAACATCGCTGTACGGTGAGTAAAGCTGCTATTGGAAAGCATTAAACTAAGTTTAATGCATTCCAATGGCTTTTTTTGATCAGTACAGCGATGTTTTCGCACAGTGAGGGTTAATCCGGAACGGATATCAGGCCAAAGGGCCATCTAATTCAACTCCCTGTAAGATCTCAAAGGAGCATCTCTACAGATAACCTCCCAGATGCTGATCTGACACTTTCATCAGCAGCATAGACAATAGGAATGATCAGAAGGACAGCTTAACAACATCAAAAGATCACAAGTTACCCACCTTTGCTCTATTGTTTACTTAGTGGGTTATCCTAAATATCCAAGATGCCTCAGGGCTACCTGAGCTGATGCTGAGACTGTACTGAACCTAACCTGTCCCTCCAGCTCAAGGATGTTAGAAATCAAGAACATAAGAAGAGCCCTGCTGGATCAGGCCAAAGGGCCATCTAATTCAACTCCCTGTATCTCACAGTGGCCCCACCAGATGCCTCTGGGAGCAGACAAGACAACTAGAGACCTGTCTCCTGATATCCCTCCCCTGCATCTGGCCTTTGGAGGTACCCCCTGTTTTAAACCTGGAAATTAGACATCCCCAACGTGGCTTGTAATCTATGATGGACCTTTCCTCCAGAAATCTGTCCAATCCCCTTTTAAAGGCATCTTGGCCAGATGCCATCACCACATCCTGTGGCAAGGAGTTCCACATACTAACAACACGCTGGGTCAAGAAATGTTTTCTTTTGTCTGTTCTCACTCTCCCAACAATTACCGTATTTAAGGATGAATTACTTTTAATTACTAATTACTTACTCCTAAATTACTTTAGAATTACCCTCCCCTTGGCCTAACTCTGCACCAGCATCATGACTGTGAGTCTGGACTGAGAAGAGCTTGAATCTGGTGTAACTCAACATTCATCTCTCCCCCCCCCGCCCCGCTTGTGGGTCTTCTGCTAGCTGATTTCAGCCAGCAGAATTAGCTGTTCTGGCAGATCTGAGATCACCCAACACAAGGGGATTGTGCCAACTCAAAGGCAGTTATGGCGGCACAAGAGGCTACTATCCATTCTAACCCATTAGAGCTGGCAGATCTTTGAATTCAGATTGCGCTGCCTGCCAGAAGTATAACTAAGGGCTCGGTTGTACTGACAATAAGAACCTCAGCTGAATCAGTTTTAACATTTATTGAAATCATGTTATAAATTCCTGGGCACAGAACACATGGGTGAACTTGATTTATTTGGGTTAGAAAGCAAGTTTTTTTTTCAAGTGACCAGAAGTGGCCTTTTAAAATATCTCAATTCCTAAATAGATTCAATTAAATTCGCTTCTGTCATTGGGAATAGTACTGTCATTTTAATTTGTACCTATGTGGATTTTGGGCAGTAGGGGCAACACAGTTTTTCCTATAATTTTTTAAAAATTCTTTATTAAACTGCTTAGTGATTAATCACTTAGTGCAGTGTGACCATGTGTGGGTCTTTTTGTGTTGTCAAGAGTTTATCATTGCATTACTTCATCAATTGCATAGGCATAGGCATCCTTCAGTCTCGAGAGACTATGGTAACATGCTCTGAATCGAGGAGTGTCCTCTCCAGAGCATGAAGCCCGGGTAAGGTAATATGGAGGATAGGCTGTTACCCAAGCAGCAGATCCCCACTCTCCACATTGCTGAAATGGTCCAATAGAAAGGCAAGAGCCAATACAACTGGTTCCAGCAATGTCGCAGGAGTTGGCAGAACGATACATGCTGCCTTCGGGACTCCAGCTCCGGATTTTGCCTCGAGGTTAACTCCTGAATCCTTTTCCATGAGTGGATATAGCCACAAGGCAGTGGAGGTTTGGAATCAGAGTTTTCCTTCTCCTACTTCATCAATACATTCAATATTAGACCCATCTTCTCCTGTCTCTATGTTCACCTCATGAAATTACTATTTTTCCATCAGTCATTAGTTGCTGAGATATTCCAGTCTCTCTGGATTACCTACTGGGCTTTGAAATAAATTTGAATTAATGCAGCCATTGATTTAGTGATACATCACTTACTTTACAAAACAATACTGACAAAAATGTAACCACACTGTGCACTTCAAATTGTACAGAAATAGAGCTGATTCCAGTGTAGCTTCCCAAGCTTAACTACCAGAAAGACATGGAAGTAATTTAAATCAAAGTTAACATGCTTACTGATTTATATACCATGTGACTTTACATTAATATAGAAAAGGTCAAGACTGGAATCAATGTAAATTGGCAGTGTGACCGGGCCCTCGGTTCAGTTGGGATCAGTTCATATCAGAATTAAGGACTCGATGTTGGTCCTAATTTGTAAGAATCCAATAAGCCACTGTGTACATGATTTTAAAAATAAACAACCAGTTTTTCTGGATCAGGAAGGATCCACAACTCTCATTGCCTTGGTGTGTGAAAGACAGCATTAAAAACACTTTCTACCCAAGCTTCATTAGAGCTTTAGGAAACTGAAATGAAAAGGCCAATATCTTGCAGGGAGAGAGTGTCAATTAATCTCTCTTTTTGACATTTGCATTGATAGAAACTGCCAAGAAATACAGATGCAATTAAAAAGGAAGATGGCAAGAAGAAACATGAAGCAATATTCAATCAAAGAAATTGTGAAAATAGAGAACTCCCACCAGAGTACAGAACACCAGCAAACCAGGCTCACGTCATATATACTTTCTCGGTTTCTATAAATCCAGTCCCAGGTTTATATTTTCGAATGCTTCTTCCTCTGACACAACCACCCCCTGTGATTTTCAAAATCCTGTTCTTGTAAGGATTCCATTGCTGAAGTTCACAAATTATTTGTGGATAACCATAAAGATCATGATGGGAAATACAGATGGAAAAAGCTCATAAGATTCACAGCCTTTTGTGTGGAATGTTTGTGTCAACCTTATTTTGCATTTCTCCTATAAGCTTTGACCTGCAAGAAACTATTTCTTGCACAAATAGCTGCAAAGGAAAAAGAAACAAAGGTGTTTCTTTAAAATATGATGAGACACCTTGGCCCCCTTGTCCTCTGTAGTTCTTCCCATTGTTAATCTGCAATGCGCTCTACGTGGGGCTGCCTTTGAAGATGGTCCGGCGACTGCAACTGGTCCAGAATCGAGCTGCGCAGCTGGTGAGTGGTGGAGCTGCTAAGGATCACATCAAGCCGATTCTGTTTAATTTACATTGGTTACCAGTTGCTGCCCGGGCCCAATTCAAAGTGCTTGTTTTGACATATAAAGCCCTAAACGGCTTGGGCCCTGGATACCTGAAGGACCGCCTCCTTCCATATGAACCTACATGGCAGTTAAGATCTAGCCAGGGGGCCCTTTTGAAAGAGCCGTCCCTTAAGGAGGTGAGAGGAAAGTGCTATGAGGTTGTATATAAGCAGCACACTTTGCTTTGCTTTGTAGAGAAAGGGCCTTTTCGGCAGCTGCCCCCGGACTATGGAATGCCCTCCTGACTAAGATTCGTCTGGCGCCGACGCTGATGACATTTCGGCGCCAGGTCAAAACCTTCCTGTTCCAGAAGGCTTTTAATTGAAATAATATCAGCTGTGGATCCTGATGGCAATTTTTAGAGGATGTATTTTAATCACATTTTAATTGTCTTGTCTTTTTATTGTATTTTAATTGTTGTAAGCCACCCAAAGACCTTTGGGTAGTGTGGGCAGCATTTAAGTTTAATTAATTAATTAAATAATCAAATAATCAAATAATCAATCAATCAATCAATCA